ATCATATATACAGATCAAATTTCTTTTCCTTAATGATGTGTAAGATAAATCTCAGAATAGTAACTGTCATGTGTTGGTTCCTCTCTCAGAGGCAAAATTAATATTTCAGAGATGGAAAATAACCAATTTGCTTTAATTTCCAGAATTTGGCAGGTTAGGTACAAGACCAAACCTTCTTCTAATATGGGATTAACAGAAAAACAGAAGTTAGCATCATTCCACTTTAGATACAGCATCATTCCATATTAAATACAGATACATATTTACATAACGTTGGAGACCTATTTTGTTTAACATAGGAAATTTAAGTAGCCCTTTTTTGAGACACATTTTCAATAACCTACACATGGGAGGCTCAAGTGGTGTGCTGTTGCTGGGTTAGCTGTCTAAGTTGCTTCAGGACAGTTTCCAGAAGCTTCTTCTTGTCACTTCTCTTGAGTATGGAGAACATGCCACGCTTTTCTCCCTCACGCAATCTGGAAGCATAAATATTCTCTGATGCACAAAGTAATTCTACCAATCTTAACCCACCATCGCCAGGAAAAAGTGTTCACGGTATAATTGTTTTGTGAAATGTCTCTGCATACAGATGCCTATGCAGGTGCTCAGCCACAAAGGAGTCCATTAGTAGATCTTGTGACCTCACCTGATTTCACCTTTCCTTGAGTTTGTTCAGAATTTTTTTCTTTTTTTTTACTGATGCTATCAATATCGATGGTTATTTTTATCATAGATGTTATAATTCATTATACTGACATTACTAACAGCAATATAACATACAAGAAAATATTTTTGAAAATCTAGGAAAATGGTAAACTGGTGAGACAGGTAGTACTTGTAATTGGCTTAGTGACGACCTTGTATTTGTGGTGCCATCTATATGTAAAAACAATTAATAAATCAATCTCACATTGGGCATGGCATGTGCGTAAATGCCATCCCCCAGTGGCTTTGGGTTAATGGAGGAGGAAAATTAATAGCACCTGTATCACTTGGACCTCTTCACAAGAATTCATGAAAGCCAATATTTAAACCTGAATGTTGCATTTAACAGTAATATCAGCTGCATTGAATAAAGTCATCCCTGATCTAGGGAATGATGTATTCATTTTTATCTAGTTACAAAATCAATACCAACTTTTTCTCCCTCTGGGACTTTCATTCAGTAGTCATTTACATTTTTCACAAACATATTATATAATTGATCTATTTCATAGATAATAATCCTTGTGGATTTATAATATTTTCAAAACAATGCCTGTTTCTTTTATCCAATTGCTACTTACTTTTCTACAATGATAATGGCATTATGAGGATTGACTCGTAGGTACTTGGAGTTCTCTGAGCCATAATCATGAAAATATGTAGACCAATCCTCTGTCATAAAAAGATCTAATAACTGCCGAAGATCAGCAAAGCACATTAGAAGAGCTCCTTCCTCAAATCCTTCCACCGGCTCAAATGCAGCAAATTCTAGAAAAAATAAAGAAAAATTACAATAGCTATTAATAAAAAGACAATCTAACAAAGAGTATGTAATAAATCATATCCATGTAATCTTTCTTTTGATAAAATTTTCTTAAACTTATTACTTCAAGACTCTTTTTTTATCCTTATTATCCTACACAAGGTGTAAGTCAACAGCTGATCCTTAGCTGTTGGGATTCAACAAAACACCTTTTCCTGCCCTGTAAGTTCAAAAGCTTGACAACCTGAAAGTTTGCAGGGCTGAAGATCATATTACAGAATTTCTAGTTTATAATAAGAACATTGTTTCGACATCAAATAATTCAGCCCATACTGAAACTACAATGTATAATAATATGACTTTCTGCAAATCTCTTGGTATCACTGTTACAATAATACAAGACTGCATCATCTTTATTTCCAAAGAATACCATTTAGTTTTTCATAAAGAACTGTCTTCTTAAAATGGTTTTCCATCTTGTTACTAGCCCGTAACTGGGGTACCAATATGATTTATCTGCAAACCTAACAGCATAATAATTTGAATCCTTGAACTAAGTACTGATTTCAATGAAGATACCAATATGAAGGGTGATGGTATTATCTACATAAATACACCATTGAATCTTGGCTAAAAGAAATACTGAAAAAGCAAAGCTTCTAACATACGTTCACACTGGATGACATCAAGGTTTACTTGCTCCAGAGCTGCAAGAGACATCTGTTTTACATCTTCACTCAGCAACATGGACATCAGTGATTTTGCCACATGCTGACAAGCTGACATGCAAGCAGTCTGTGCTACACGCACCTGTCAAAATAAAATAACCATGTTACCTCCAACACAATTCAAGATCACAAATGTAAAATACTCAGATCTGAGTAGTTCATTTTTTAAGATAATGGAAGATGAGCATAAATATTCATAGAAAACCTTGTCAACTATCTTCAATAACTGGGAGACAAGTCCTTCTTAAAAAAATACAGGCCTATGTTTATCAAAAACAACAAAAAAGAGAAAAAAAATCTATGAAACACCTCTCACAAATAAACAATAAACACAAAAATCAAATTATGCACTGTTACATGTATAGTCATGACAGGGAATAACAAGCACATTCTCCCTTACTGGCAAATTGGTGAATGCTGTGAAAGTCGAGTTAAGGAAAGCTATGAGATCAGTGACATAGGATGATGATGTTCCCTGGGGTTCAGCCAACATCCAATCGTAGGCAGCCAGATCCAAGAATTCATCCAGCTTCAGTCTAAGAGCTGTGTAAATTTGTTCCTCAGCTTCCCCTCTAATGTCTTTGAACATAGCCTTGCCCTGAAGTCTACCCAGGCCAGGTGTGCTGCTGTCCTCTATGCTCCTATAAAAAGGAATCAATTAAAGACAAGTCCACAAAGATATGAACCTAATTCAGGAAATCTATAAGGCCTCTCATAACATTTTTCATAAATAATGTATTAGGGCAATTAAATAACTTCATAGCAATCAGACAGACCTTGCAGTAATTCATGAACAACTTACATCACTAAAGGTAGACATAAAAACATACCCTGTCAACTTAGCTACATAATGTTCTAAAAGAACATTAGCATGTTCTAAATGTAGTGTGTTGATGGTTATCTGAATGAGTTGCAGGAGTCCCAATCCAGGTCTCTTGATTAATGTTGCTAAACAGCCACTCAAAGTGCGGGTCAGCAGAAGGTTGGTCGATTTCCGTACCATGTCCTCCTTCTCTGTTTGACTAGGAAGAGAAAGCTAAGTTAGTGCTTCTATCTCCGTTACATAAATTCTTTGGGTTCCAATTGTTTTTCTTAATCTTTTTCTTACAGTGGCTGTGGCTTACCTGTTTGACAGTGCTGATCATGATATACTATATCATCTTATAATTATGTATATGCATAGTTAAATTTTACATAGGATTCTCATTACCCAACTGTCATGAAAATTAGGATGTGAGATTCATCCAAAACAAATAGAAAGCATGGTAACAATTAAAAATTTTAGCAATAAATAAATACATTTAATAAAACTCAATAAATAAAGAAAATAAAGGAGGGGAAGTGCCCTTAGAGTAATTATCAACAATAAGTCTTTATTACTTTTCAGTAAAACACCCTAAAAAATACCATTTTGATTCTTTATGTAACATGTTACTTAACATGGCATCTAACATTTAAGAACACAAACACAAATTCAGTAACATGGACACACAATAAAATAAAAATACTGCTTCAACAGAAATTAAATAAACATGATCTATCAAACTTGACGAGAGTTATTCATCATATCAAAAATCAAATCAACCAGAAACAAAAGAAAACATCACGTCTGAAGCTTGGGCATTTCACAGATTTCCCCCCCATTAAAGGTGAGTACGACTCAATGAAAAGATAGTTTCCATGTATTTTCTCAAGTTTCTCTTTTAAAATTCTTCTACAAAATCTAATACATTCACAACTAAGTATCCTAAAATATCTTTATAAAAGGCACATAGGAAGAGAGTTCATAAAACATATCAAGACCATAAAAAAATAATAGATTAGTAGACAATTTGAATTATGCAAATTATCCACAATATCCTGAAAAAAAGAGATAAGCATCTACACAAAGAGGAAAAACAGAGAAAGACAACTTAGCAATTAAAACACTCATACAAACCTTAAATTCAGATCTTCCGAGAACTCTAAACAAGCTGCAACATAATTCTTGACCTGCCGGTACACTTTTGGAACCATTAAACTGAAGGGGAATCGTTTAGGGAACGAGGACTGCTCCAGCGCTAGGTCATGATAAGGGAAGACCTCAGTAATTCGATGATACTCCTCTGGGGTTTCAACTTGAATAGGATGATAGTTGTCTTCATCAAATATTTCCCGAAATACCTGAAATCATGTACATGGATGCCCACTTTCAATCAATTTTCATAAGGTATTAAAATACATTAACAATACTCATACTCTACAAGCTACACCAATTTTCATTACATTCAGTATCATGTAATAGCATTCCTTGATCCATCCATATCTTATGATACACCAAATATTCAATCAATCATACCATGCACTTAGCATTTACTCTGCATAAAAAGTTAAGTGGAAGTCCATGGACTTGCACATAAAAAAGACAAAAGTTAACTTACCTGTACCCATTTTTGCATCAAAACTTCATTATAGTGATCTTTAACTTCTAGTAACAACTCATGTAGTGGATTCACAGTGTACCCATAGTTCTAGAGGGATAGAAGAAAATGTATAAATAAAATTACTTTAATATGCTTTGGTTTCATGTCTTCAGTTGCTTCCTGTTTCGGACATACAACATTCACAAAGCAAAACTGTTAATAAACTTATTTCAATATCTAATCTTGATGTAAGTACAAAAATTATGTTACAAGACAACAAATGATTACCTGTAAAGTATGGGCAAACAACATAATAAGGTTCTTGATGTTGAGCATAAGATGGGTATCAGTGCAGTATGATGAATGATTGCGGATGTTGTTCACAACCTGGAGAAGATAACAGAAGTTGAGAACTCTATTAGCACGTAATGGCATACAATTTTCGTTAGTTTATACTGACATTTGATAGAGATAATACTTTATACTTGGGTGTACTCTGAAATTTATGATACAAATATTTCTAATGACAGAAGCAATTGATATTTTGTTTAAAATCACCTAATAATTTCTTCTCTGTTAGAGAAATATTACTACTTCTCTTACATAATCAAATAACATTAATAATATTTTATTTGAAACATCAAATTGGCAAATCATCCTGAGCACATAACAAATAGAAATCAATAAAGAGGAAAAAGAAGTAAATAAGTAAAAAGTCATAATAATCGTGTATTTCAACCTACCTTTCCTGATGCCATGTCCCAAACCTCATCCAGATATGGCCGTGTGACCAGTCCATTGCCTGTGTTCAGAACATGGTCCTCTATCACAAAGAATCCCACAACACCATACAGGTACTGTCGATAGCCTTCTAAATTTTCATGCTGGTGAAGGGGAAAGAAATGGGAATGATTCTTTTCTTCCACTATCAATAATGCCGTAAAAATTGTCACATTTTTCATTTCCATTATATAAATCAAAGCTAAACATCTAATATAAAGTACAACAGAGCAATAAAGCTCGAGAAAAATTCACTGCGGACAATACCTAACAAAACACACAGGAAGATTCAACCCTCATTTGTGACCTGAACCACTCAGTACCCACCATGTTAGTTGGTGGCTGCAAAGCTAGCCTGGCTTGCTCTCTTCGCTGCTGCCTGTAATAAGTCTCAAACTGCTCCCGGGCTCCTAGGACTGTGTAAATGTGAAGACAGCGGTACACAGGAGCAAAATTGATTAGGTCCTGGGCACACAGCTCCTCTTCTTCATCACTCTGGGCTTCTGACTGAGCTTCATAAGTCTCACCTACAAAAAATTAATGGAGATGAAATGAGAAAGGCAATAAAAAGAATAAAGAACTGTAAAGAATAAAATCATATGAAAAATAAAAAGTAAAAGAATTATAGTGACTAAAGGAAATTATGAGAGTTCTGATGCAGGAAACTGTTTTTCCTGTGTGCCTCCAATTTCAGAGCTATTTTACACTTTCTTCCTCAGTAAAAAAAAATAAATAAATAAATAAATAAAAAAAAAAAAAAAAAAAAAAAAAAAAAATAATAATAATAATAACAATAAAAATCTATGCTACTGCAATCTATTCAACAATGCATCATATCATAATCATCTAAATCCTCAGACCAGAATCTAAGATCAAATAATGAAGATACTCTTTCTAAATCTTTCTACATCCCCTCCCCCACAATAATTCTGATATACAAAACATCAATCAGGAACATTAAAATTATATTCACAATTCTGACAGAGCATACACTTGAATACCTGTTTTTTACACAAGAACACTGAAGAACTTTACCTGTGAATGGATTTGGAGGCAGTGGCGCATGCCTCTTGGATCTTGTCATTGCTAGATTAGGGTCCATATTGTACTGAAGAGCAGCATGCTTCATGGCAACCTGACCAATTCGTGCTGACACTCTGTTTATAGAAATCATTAGATTACCTAGTTGCATGTAACATGAACACACACACAAGTGCATAAACATATAAATATATATATACATATATGTATATGTATTTGTATATGTCTGTCTGTCTGTCTGTCTGTCTATATATGTATACATATACATATAGATGGATAGATATATACATCCATACATATATGCACACATACATATATTGCCTGCAGTAGTATACGCAAGTGCCACCGTCCTGAAAATTGAGATAACAGTATCACAGAGTTCTTCAAAATCTGCTTTCTATTGTGGTTGAGAGAAATTACAAAGAAAATAAGGATGATAGTCTATAATATTGGTCTAGATTTTTTACCTCCTTGGCCAAGGTGTTATTTTTGCCAATGTATTGGTGCAGTTGCATACTCATCCCAAGCCTGTCGGGGTATGTCAAACTGCTTTAATGTTATAGTTTTTTTACCAAAAGATTCATGGGATAATGTACAAAGCAAGATTTGCATTCCTTTAAGAATAAAAGAAATAATCTGCTGCAATAATCTGTGTCATCATAGTGTTTGAAGTCAGGAACTAAATGAGGTTATTTTTAATTTGGGTCATGTCAGGTCCAACAGCCTCATCCTTACTCTCACAGTAGCAAGACTTCTAGCGACTCACTACTGACACCTGACTGGTTGACACCTCTTGGCTCTGATTGGACTGCAGGCTCCACTCGTTCCAAGTTTGCCTACAGCTCCTGTGTACTTGAGCTTCAGGATCCAGAAACAAGATCACCAACTCAAGATAATCTAGCTGCACCTCAGCAAGCAGCAGTAACACAGGACTGCCCAATCTTTTGCCAACGGGGAACCAGAGAGAACTCTAAGACCCTTAACAGTGGGAACTCATACCCACTCAACTATTCCCCAAAGAGATAAACCACCAGTCATGTAGTTGATGCCATCCATCTACTACAACTGCATTAATAGTGAATTTTCCTTGGCAAGGAACATTAGGAAAGGAGAGAAAATGGAATTTTTTCCAGGAATATTCTGGACTGTTTTATATAATTTCTAAATTATATTTTGTGTTTTTTTTATGCTAAAGTACTCATGCAATAATATACAGATCATGAGCTATAAAATGGTGTAAGCAACATTACTCTAGCTATAATAGTTTTGGAAAGAGATTTTTGAAAATACAAAAATTTGAACTTATAATATATATATATATATATATATATATATATATATATATATATATATATATATATATATATATATATATATATATATATAATATATATATATATAATATATAATATATATATATAATATATATTATATATATATATAATATAATATATATATATATATATATATGTATATAATATATATATGTATATATATATATATATGTATATATATATATATATATATATATATACTATATATATATATATATATATATATATATATATATATATATAATGTATATATATGTATATATATATATATTATGTATATATATGTATATATATATATATATATATATATGTATTATATATATATATGTACTATATATATATATATATATATATATATATGCCTCGTGGAATCAAAATATCTAAAATTATTTTTAAATTGATAACTTACTGAGACACACGTTTGGTATTCTACTGAGAAATTCTTTATTGCAGTTTACTGAGCAACACCTCCTTTGGTACTTTACTGAAAACCCCTTTGGGCATTTTGCTGTGAAATCTCTTTCTGATACTTTACTGAGAACTACATTTTAGTACTTCTTGAAAAGCACATTTTTGATACTTTCTTGAGAAACACCTTTTCAGTGAGAAAAACCTTTTTGGCACTTTACTGATTTTTTGTACTTCACTGAGATACAAAAATCAAACTATCAGAGGAATAATAAAAAAGAAAAAAGCTTACCGTCTGATTGCCTCCAGGAAATCTTTAATATCTGACATAGATGCCTGTTTAATGTCTTCACGAACTCGAGGAATGTTGTCACGCATTTGCTGGGCAAAGCGATAACTTGCAACACGTGGTAAATAGGTGTGTTCAAGTTGCTCTAGAGTTTTCAGTGCAGGATAATATCTGGAAGATCAAAATTTTTTGAGAGTGAAATTAATTTACTCCACACAATTCTAGATACTTCAAAAATTATCTCCTGTCATCTTCTTCCTCAAGCCACTTAACCCCTATGATCCAGATGACATGACCATCACACCATAAAAAAAATTTGGCTTCAGGGGTGGGTGACATCAACTTGCCGTCAATGGGAAAATTTGGCTGAAGACCAGGGTAAAATGAATGACTCAGCATGAGTGCACAAAGCTCTTGGAGGGTGATTTGACTCAGTGGGCAATTAAAATGAAACAAAAAACAGTGTTACTTATTGTCATTATTATTGTATTGAGTTATGACCTGCCATTAAAGGAAAACAATCTATTACCATCTGGATAAAGTAAACCAAATAACAAGAACAAACATTGGAAAATGGCAAAAATTTAAAAACACTTATGCAGAAAAAAATATAGAGCCATAGAGCCTTGTCACCACATACAAATATTTGTATACTTAGCCTACAAGCTGGTCACAGAGCAGAGTGGCTACTCAAGTAAGGCTAATGCCTATGTTTTGGGCCAAGTGATGGCTGTAAAGCATCCTGATCTAATGGGTTAAGGTAATCATAAGAAGATTTTTATATTTACAAAAAGTAGTTAAAAAAAAAAAAAAAAAAAAAAAGGCTTGCCAAATGCTAATATTTCTAAGAATTATGAAAATGATAAGCACAGATTATCATTCACATACATGAAGGGCTTGTACTATTATAAACTTTTAAAGGATTCCTGAACACATATAAGAAATGGGTTGTACTGGCTTCTTGTAATATGAGAGTATTGTGACTCACCTTTTCTCCTGCATCTGTTTCTGTAGCTTGGAATACGTGGTTAGGACAGGCAGACAGAGGGTAAGGGCATCTATGGCGGCACAGATATTTGACTGGACTTTCCGTGTCTTGACCAATTCCTCACTCTTGGCCATTAGCTGCTTTGCCGATTCTTGAACCTCCTCATCAATTCTGACCACTTCCATCTGACAAGCAAGTAGTTATCATTGGAAAAAAGTGAATATATAATCATAAAAAAAAGGCACAACTGATCAATACTGTTCCATCCCATTTTTTATTATTGTTAAATATCACATGCAATGAAATTTATGTAAGCCTTTCCTTACAATCGTTCTATTTTTTCCAATTCAAATAAGAAAACGATACTAAAAACTATAAATAAATACAAATACACACCTTGAGTTTATGTGCTTGTGACCTAACTTGTAGAAGTTCCCTGATGGAGTCAATGAATCCTTGGTAATGGTGATTACACATTCTCTCGATGTCTCTGTCATGGTTCCGAATTCGTGTATCCAGGCGTTCCATGAACTTCCCATGCTCGTCGCCATCGTATATGGTCCTGCATGGTAAGAATTAACATTAATTTCACAACACTGTAAAGAGAGATGGAGGGGCAAAGAATAGAGAAGAGAGGGAAGGAAAAAGAGAAAAAAAAAAAGGTGTCAGAAGGAGAAAATAGGAGGAGTGTGAAATAAGGAAGGTAGAGGGAGGAGGACACGACGGAAAAAGTGAGGTGGAAGCCAGGAAAGGAAAGAGGGAAAGAGGGTACAGAGAAAAAGCTAAGAGGAGGAGAGAGTGAAAGAGGAGGGAGAGAGGGAGAGAGGAGAGAGGGAGAGGGAGAGAGGAGAGGAGAGGGGGAGAGAGGGAGAGAGGAGGAGAGAGGGAGGAGAGAGAGAGGGAGGGAGAGGGAGGGAGGGGGAGGGAGAGGGAGAGAGAGAGAGAGAGAGAGAGAGAGAGAGAGAGAAGAGAGAGAGAGAGAGAGAGAGAGAGAGAGAGAGAGAGAGAGAGAGAGAGAGAGAGAGAGAGAGAGAGAAGTAGGGAGGGTAGGAGAGAGAGAGGGGAAGAGGAATGGAGGAAGGGAGTGAAGGAGAGAGACAGTGAAGGAGAAAGAGAATGAAATTTTCTTTTCTTAATTGTAAGACTTCAAATTCATAAACATTTTCTCCTCTTTATATGTAGTAATCAAAAGCCAGAGCTAAAACTGCAAAAAATAGATACATGCATAATAATAAAATACTAAATACTACTTAACATGCAACTGAAACATATTCTGTAAGAATATCAAAATCAAGTCAAATAAAGGTATCAATCAGTAAGAAAATAATAATGGTTAAACATAAGGACAATTCCATGTAAATACCAGGTACACATACATAATCTCATTATATAAGGTTGAGGTTGTAAATATCTTTTCAAAAAAGTCAAGACCAGACTCTTCCTGCATCAAGCTCTCAATTTTCATAAAATACATTATTGCGATTCTTAACAAATTCAATCAAATCAGCAGATTGCTAACTTCCTTCCAAACCCTTAATATTTTTCCAAATCCCTCCCCTACACACACACACACTATCCGTGAGTAATAACAGCACTAGTGTCGAATGTTAAGTGATTGAGACTTGGTCATGGTAAACCTACATGGGGGTGTGTATGTTCCTGTAAGGGTTGCCACACAATCATTTCCCTTCTAGATAATCAGGTTACCAGTGCAAACTCACTTCAGATTATGTACATTCCAGAAGTGAATTAGTGGAGCCGCAAGATTTGGCATACATCAAGCAATGGCAGTTAACATAAGCTACGCATGATAAACCAGCAAAGGTGTAAGAGATTCACTGGCAACCAACACAGCAGACCTAAACTTGATAACCAGAGTGCTTCAGTACCTTGTCAGCTCTCTTGTGTTCCAATTAAACGAACAGAAAAGTGAAAACAACTCTGACGTGATATCAAAGCAGAAGAAAATGTGGCCCCTATCGGTAGCATTGAAATAACGCATAAGATAGGAGATCCTTTCAGCAACATAGCAATACTGTCACTCAGAAATATCCCAAATTTGAACCATTTCTGATCAACAGGAAGATAAACCTCTCCAGTTAAAAAAAATCTAACAGTAAGTACACCACTCAAGATTGTTGAATGAATTCTATGATTGGTGAGTATCACTTGCAAGCCTAATGGCTCATACATAATTTTGCTGTCACAATTCCATATAGTCTTTTATAATGCTAATCATAGATTTAAAAAATATATAATCTTTAGTCTATGCTAATCTTTGAATTCAAACAAATCCTCTGATAACTTTCAATGCTTAATTTGATCAAAAAAACCATGGATGATAATATAATATGATATCATTCTCATGATGATGATCATCATCATGTTGGTGGTGATGTGGTGGTGGTGATAATGGTGATGTGGTGGTGTTGGTAGTGAGGATGTGGTGATAATGGTGGTGGTGATGTTGGCGTAACAATAATAATCATAATATATAAGATAATAGAAGCAAATAAATAATAAGAATAAGAATAATAAAAATATTAACAACAATAACAATTATAACATCAACAATCCATCATCATCATCATCATCACAACAATAACAATAACAATAACAATAATAACAACAACAACAACAAAACAATAATAATAATAATGATAATGATAATGATAAAATAATAATAAACAATAATAATAACAATAATAATAACAATAACAATAAATAACACCAATAACAACAATAATAACAATAATAACAATAATATAACAATAATAATAACAATACAATAACAATAACAATAAATAATAATAATAATAATAATAATAAAATATAATAATAATAATAATAATAATAATAATAAATAATAATAATAATAAATAAATGATAATGATAATTATAATGATAATGATAATAATAATAATGATAAAAATAATAATAGTATTAAAATAAAAATATAATAATATAATATTAATAATAATAATAATAATATTATTATTAATAACAATATTGATAATATAATATATAATATAATATTAATAATAACAATAATATTAATAATAACAATATAATAATAATAATGATAAAATATAATAATAATAATAATAATAAAATGATAATAATATTATCATAATAAATATAATATAATAATAATATTAATAATAAAATAATATATAATAATATTAATAATAATAAAATATAAAATAATAAATAATAATAATAATATAAATATTAATAATATCAATAACCATAATATTAATAATAATGATAATAACAATAATAACAATACTACTACTTTACTACTACTACTACTAACTAATAATAATAATAAAAATAATAATAGTAATAATAATAATAACAACAATATTAATAATAATAAATAATAATAAAAAAAAAAAAAAAAAAATAAAATAATAATAAAATAATAATAAAATAATAATAATTAATAAAATAAAAAATAATAATATAATAATAATAATAATAATAATAAATAATAAAATAATAAAATAATAATAATAATAATAATAATAATAATAATAATAATAATATAATAATAATAATATAATTATTAATATTATAATAACACTAACAATAATAATGATAATGATAAAAACAGCAATAACAACAACAACAACAATAATAATAATAAAAATAATGTTAGCAACAAGAAACAGTAGAAGCACAAGTACCAGTAATAATAATAATAAAACTAATGATAATAACAGCAGCATTATGACTGACATTAACAGGAGTAATATACATGACAATTTTATCAAAGATCATAATTCACTATATTTTATCCATCCAATGTTTCCTACTTTCCTTCTTTTCTTTCTCTCTTTCCCCTCTCCTCACATCCTCTCCAGCTCACCCTTGCTCCCCTTTCCGTCCCCCCTCTTCTCTCTCTCCCACCTCCCCTTCTCTCCCTCTATTGCACATCCTACCCTCTCTCTCTTTTCCCCTTTCTACTTTTTCTGACTTTCTGATTCTCTCTCTGCATCTCTTTCTCCTTCTACCCTTTACTTTCCTTCTTCTATCTCTACATCTCTTTCTCTTATCCTTTAATTTCCCTCTCCTCTCTCTCATAATTTCTTTATTTACCTTTTTCCCATCTATCCCTTTTCCCCTCTCATCCATTTTTCACTATTTTTTCTCTTTAATGAAATTTACAGAGCAGCTTATCAATGATACTCTAACTATGTAGAAATGGAAGCGTTTATATTCATCATTACAAATATGTATTTTGCCAAAGGTAAATCCTATGAAATGTTTCACATATTCAAACTTTCTTATTCTAATTGATTTATGATCATTATTATTATTACAATTTTTATCATAATATAATATCCATAAATCATTATAATGATTATATTCTTAATGTCTATCAATATCTATCACTATCTTTTGTATACAAGTTATTAGCCATCAAATAACTACATAAATATTCAACATACCAAGTAAAAGATTCTGCTGTAGGATCTACTACTCCTGGCCACATGATATGCTTACGGGTAAAGCTTATCCAGTGTATAATTCCTTTACACTTTGCCTTAAACATTTTGGCTATTTTTATTATATGAAATGCACTATGCAGAATACTAATGAAGCAAGTCTTTCTACGACCCTTGCTCAACTAACACTGGAGTTGGAGCGCTGTGCTCAGGATGCCTGTATATGAATGTGATAGAAACATCCTCTGGGGATTCCAAGTAACAATTTTTCTTTAATCTTTCATGCTCAATTTTTTCTTCTTTTTTTTTATCAGGGTTACAAAAAGAAAAAAATCACGCCAAAGTCTGTCAGCATGCTCAGATAGCAAAAACAGATATGAAATTTTTAATGTTGCAATATCAAGCATAAATTTTGCACATTATAAGACAGCTGATAAGTATTTCTGCAATTTACATTTAAAATTTTGTTTGTTATTTTTTTTCTACAATTTAAAAAGCAACTCAAAAATATTATGTAGACAACAAGTAAGGTCATCAATATATTACTCTGGATAGGATACAAATATATAAATGTTTTAATATGTACATACAAATTTATATCTAGATCTAGGTCTACATTATCTTTAAATTCAAACTCATGATCTAAATTCAGATTTGAATGAACATTTATATCTTATCTTAATATTCCTATATATGTATCTATTTATCTATATAATCATATGTAACATACATACATACACACACACACACATTATATACATATATATATATATATATATATATATATATATATATATATATATATATATATATATATATATATATATATATATATATATATATATATATATAAACTGTATACATATGTATACCTACGTACAGCAAAAATACATATCAATATAAATACATATATATCGATGTACAAGAACTCCATAGGTAAAAAATAACATTATATAAGGAGACAAACAATTTCCACTAGACATGTACATTGTACATCAACAAACAGCAAAGGAAAAACAGGAAGACTCTGAGAAACTTGATAATGATTATAATGACAAACATATATTAAAAACAGTGCTGATATATAACGTATATAAAAAACAAGCTAAGA